GAAGGAATTTAGTTGAAGATAAGAGATAGTACTAGATAGATTTAACTAACTTTGATTTTGCTTACAGTGTATTAACATCTGATCCAAATATTACAGCAGATATTGACAGATATTTATCTGTATAACTTTAGCAAGTACATTCTTAATGGGTAGATGATGGTTCTTAGTATAGTTAAGAATTTAAAGACTTAATATTCGATAATTGCCCTCCTGGTAGATTTCTAGGTGAAAATGTTTAGACTGCTAACTTTGGAGTAGAAAAAAATTATAAATGCCCAACCTCTTTTAATGAAACATTGCAAGGTAGTTACGCTTCTAAGGAAACTAGATACTTTCAATTATTGATTGGTGGTTGCAATTAAGTTATTCTTAACAAAACAAAGCCTAATTTGAAATGTGCCAATGATTCTGATATCAAGAAAATATTAGATGATGTAGAATTGAACCTCTTAATATCTAACCAATTTGTTGATGTTAATGAAAAAGAAGGGAATCCCATTAAAACTCTCATTGAAAATTATTATGCTACAAGCAAATCTGAATTAAATTAGGCGAGTGTGATAAGACTTGGATAAAATTTTCTAATTAAGAATTCATCTCCTTTATCAAACAGAATCTCTTCGCAAAACATAACTTACTACACCATTTGAGCTGAAGATTCATTTATAGGAGACTATCAAAAGTTTTAAGCTATTTTTACTTATTACATTCTTCTAGATGATAATATTCTTACAACAACAATAGAAGTTTATACTATTTCAGATGCTCTTTCTACAACAGGTGGTTTGCTAGGAATACTCTCAGTAATTGTATCTGTTCTTTTATCAAAAATATAAGAAAACCTTTATTATCAAACTTTAGTTGGAGACCTATTCTAAATAACAAATTAGGATGCCATATAAAAGAGTAAACCAAAGTCTATAGTTGTTCAAAATTTAAATACTTCAAATTTTAACTTATCAAGTAAAGATAAAGAAAATTTTGGAAAAAATACGCAATATTAAAAGCTATTAATGAGTGTTAAAAATAGAATAAGATTCATATTCACAGATTATGAAATGTATTTTGGAAGATTCAACTGTTGTAAGAAAAAAGACGAAATAACACTAATTAAAAAAAGAATTTAGCTATTCAAAAAAGCGCAACAAATTTTAGACAACAAACTGGAGATCTCTTCAATATTGAAGTAAATTTAAATTATAAAACTTCTAAAAAGGATTACACTCTCAAATTATTAGAGAAAGCTAGCTCCCTATTTCAAATAGAATTTGATTTAAATCAAAGATTAGAATATATTAGATGATATCCTGAGAACTAATGGAAATTTAAGTATTAAAACCATTCCTTACAAGAAAAAGGATATTGATCTTGAGTGGCAAGCTAAAAGCAAGGCTGCAAGAAGGTAAATTAAATTGCATCTGAAATAAGTGTTCTTAAGAAAAGATGTTAGTAAAATGGACAAAAGAATATTCAAAAATTTAATTACTGATGATCATGAAATAAAGTATATAAACTCAATTCTAAACCCTATGAAAGACAGCATAATTCAAAATCTTGATAAAAACCTCTTGATTGTAGATAGCTTCATTAAACCTAATGAAAATCATACCACACACATAACCCTTTAACAATCCAAAAACTCAATTGATTTTTAGACCAAAGATTTTATTCAAGAAAAAAAAGAATGGGAAGATTATTCAAAAAAATAAAACACAAATAAGTTAAGTGAAAAATAAATGTATTCTATTTGATAATGAGAATTATACTTTTATGTCGAATTGGATTTTATTTATTCATTTGTAAAAATAAATATATATTTATTTATTACAGGCTTACGGGGTTTTGGGGTTTTGGGGTTTTGGGGTTTTGGGG